CTAGTGTGTGATGTATTTCGAAAAAAAATCTCTTATGATGTCGGTTTAGCACTCTACTTACACCCCAAAACAGACAACTTTGTTTTCTCTGCTGAGTCAAGTCTTCATTTTGCCACTGTTGTGTCTTCCTCTAATTCTCTGGTCCACAAACACCGCTGACAATCTCCTGAAGTCATTCCAGTTCAGAACTTTGCATGCAAGGAGTCAGTCCTCATCTACTGACTCACAGGAGGAGCCTGCGGTGAACAGCTCAGCTACAGCCCATGACTCACCGCCTGCGGCTCTCTATCTCTCGGGCAGGGTGTTGGCATCTGTGGCTGTGTTCCCAGGGCTGACTGTTGCTGCCATACACAGTGGTGACTGTTCACGAAGGACATGCTGGTTTCTCTACAGGAGACCATGGGGCTTTCAGCCTGCTGGGCTTTGATTATTACTCTGTAAGCCCCAGCTCAGAAAAGCAGCAAAGCTTTTTCCCACCCTGTTATTAAGAGATCATCCCCCACCTGCAAGTCACCCAGTTCTCCCCTCTCACTGCCTAAGGTTCTTGGTCCAGCTAAGCTATGAAAATTTCAACACCCAGACACCTAATGTCTGTGATGTCACTCCTGCTTTGGCTTCTGGGGAAAAGGACCATACTCCTTCTCCAGGATTAAGCGGGTGGACAATTCCTTGCCATTTCTCCACCCCCAGCTAACACATTCTCTTCTCAACCTGTGCCTGAACTCCTTCAGCTTTGCTCTGTCCAAACCCCTCCTGCCACACTCAACCCTGGAGACACCACATCCGACACTTACACCTCTATCAATCAGGCCACTCTGAAACTCTGACTCACACCCACCATCTGCCATTCCTCTCCTGCTCCTCGACTGTAGTATCCTTGGGGGAAACACACAAACATCCACCAGCACACCTGCATGTATGTCTGCATGCCTGTATGCATGTGCATAGCTCCCCTCCACACAATCCCAGACCGTTTTCTGGCCAGATCCACTATTAATACACCCAGAGTGGATATATTCAAATACCTGCCCCTATGATGCTCTTTTTTCACTTGTAATTAATCCCTTCCATGTGAACTTGGTTCAACAATTCTTTATTGATCATCTTGTACCTGCTGGATACGGAAGTCTGGGCCCACTACGGATATGATATAGCCTCTGCTCTTAAAGAAGTAACCATCTTGGGGAAGAAAAGGCATCACAGCAGCAGACATCAATGAATTACCCATACATCACAGTGTGATGCTGTGATGCACATTGTGTGAATCATCTTGAACAGAGCCACAGAGAATAAAAGTACAATAATTGCAGAAAAGACAACAAGAAGAATTGAGAATGACTTTCAGGTGCCCGCCTTGAGTGGTCAAGTTGACCAAGCACAGGAGGAAGTAGCAAGCTTGAGCTGGAGAGGTGTAGAGGGATGGGGAAATCTTTTTTATCAGTATGCTGTTTGTCAGTATTCTGTGAGGGCTTCCCTGGTGGTTCTGCTGGTAAAGAATCTGCTTGCAATTGGTGAGACTTGGGTTCGATCCCTGGGTTGGGAAGATACCCTGGAGAACGGCATGACAACCCACTCTGGTATTCTTGCCTGGAGAATTCCATGGACTGTGTAGTCCATAGAGTCGCAAAGAGTTAGACATGAATGAGCGACTTTCACAAAGTTAGGATGATAGTTTGAGATCCCTATGAGACATCCAAATGGTAATGTCCCATGTTTGAAGCTCAGGAGAGAAGGCTGTGAAGGATTTGCACAATGGGAATGGCTACAGAGTCAGGCTGGGTACCAAGTAAGAAAAGATGGAAAGGAAAGAACTCAAGAGGCGTAAGCATTTAGCAGGTAGGCAAAGAATAAGAAATGTATTGAGAAACAACAGCCAAAGAGAAAGAAAATTAGGCAACTTTTTCTGCCTCCTAAATCGACCTGTAGTTGTATTCTCATTTCAAACTACTTGCGAGACTTTTCTCATGGGACACTGCTCTAATATCTCAAATTCAATTTTGTCAATGTGATAAAAAAAAATTTTTTTTTTTCCAGATAAATCTGAAACTCTTGACTCTTCACGAATCCCCGACTCTTCACCAGCAGCATTTATGCTTTGAGTGACTTTATCCTGACTGGTGTCATGTCTCCTTTATAATTATTCATACTTTAAGAACCAGCTCACCACACCATTCCACCTCAACCTCACCAACCAAAGCGTGAGTTCACTACTCTCTTCCCTCTGTTTGCTTCATACCATGCAAAGAGTTCTACCACTGCATCGATAAGTTTATATTAGTTATAGCTACACTATTTCATAAGCGTCTATTTTTGTTTCTTGGATTACTTATTTGTATTGCCAATAAAATGCAAATTAAATGCTTGGCAAACAAACTCAGTGTTGAATAAATGAAGAAACAAATGAGTATACTAAACCAGAAAACAATCTCCTCCTTTTTTCACCTTTCTTACTTTATTTACCTAGATGCATGTCATAAATTTTCCCTGTATCCAAGTAACCTTTTTTTTTAACTGAAGTACAGTTGATGTGTTATATAAGTTACAGGTATACCCTACAGTGATTCATAATTTTTAAAGGCTATGCTCCATTTATAGCTATTATAAAATATTGGCTATATTCCCTGTTACACATACCCTTTATTAATCAATGTCACATGAGTAAGCCTCCCAGCCATGATAACCACTTCTTATGTTGGAACAGCCACACATTTCTGTTCTTTGCTTCTAAGGCATGTTGTAGGATAGCACCAGATTCAGCATGTACCTCTTAGACGTTAATTCTAATACATACACTTGTTGGGATTTTCAATGGAATTAAATAATCAGTCTTCTATCAAACCATTAGCCATTTATATCATGATGATTTATAAAGTGATTTTTTTTAATGCTGGAGTGGGTGGGGAGTAAGGAAGAGGTGATGGTAGAAAGGGGACATGTTAATTTTTGTTGGTCTTTATGAAGTCTTTTTTTTAAATAACATTGTTGTTTTAGATAATACTAAGAGATGATTCTAATAAGCTAATCACCTATGTGTACATGTGAGACAAAATATGCTGGGAAATATAACACAGACATTTTGAATATATATAAATGTTAAAGCCAATTATTTGCACAAGGTACAGTTTTTAACTGATGTATTGCAAGTATGTCTTAAGAAAATTAAGTCTTAAGAAAAGTATATTTACCATAACGTTCAACTAGTTTAGAGGAAGAAAAACCTGTAAGTAATCTTTCACATCTTGTTAATTCATTTTAAAGCAATCAGCACGTCATTGGTAATGGCATCTGATGTTGTACAAAGAGATTTGTGAAATAGATTGACTCTCATGCCAGCAGAAAGAAGTCAGGAGTGAGAGAATGAGCTGTGTATGATCTAACTTCCAAGTGCCTTCAGCTCACTGAGTCATAGGTTTCAGTCACAGGTTTTTAAAGAGGAGCTAATTCAAGAATGTCATCCAGTGGCACTGGATTGTACATCTTCTCTCAAAGCCTTGCAATACATGTCTCACAGAGGAACATTATCCTTAAATTGCCTTTGACAGCCTCCAGCGGAGAGTAAATAATCCAAGAGAAATACAATTTGCATTAGCTTTTCTCATTCTGGAAGCTACAATTATCTTCATTACTGAACAGAGATCAAATTCTAGATAATGAGGCATAAATACTTGCCTATAGGACTCAGTTGCAAGAGCACTCATTTGGGGTGGGGTTTATGTATAGTTTCCAGGGATGATATGAGAGTGTTTTGGTCAAGTCTGCCTTGTTTAATTAGGAATCCTCCCAGCAATGATAGGGAATGAGAATTATCACCGAGGTTACCATCCACAGTAATTCAAAGAAAAAGGTGTGGAAACTAGAAGACATTCTTCCCTCCTGACTCAACGACGTGACCAGTATTTATTGAGAGGCTATCATGGTTCTCGGCACTGTTCTAGGCACTGCAAACAGAGTGAAAAATTAAGCAGACACTCCTAGACATTCAGTCCTCTGTTTAGCTACTGACTGTTAAGTAACACTATCAGAAAAGTTACCGGCCAGTTAATCCCTAAACAAAGAAAGTAAAAGGTGGTTCTCAGCTCAAAGAGGGAGTGGTCCTCGGCAGTTGAGGAAGAAAGGGATTAAGGCCATTGTACTGGATCTTGAAAAGTGGCAAGATGAGAAACGGAGAAAGAAGAGGAGACCCTGGGCAAAGAGAGAGGGGGGCACATTTAATCACAAAGGGAACTCTGCCTTGTCGATCAGCTTTGATGCCAAACATCTCTTTCTAGTAGCAAATCAACCCTTTATACTAGTACAGGCTCTTCCAATAGGTCAGTGTCAATAATTAGCCTTTCTTCTAAATCTCCTAATCTGGTGCTTATTCCAGAGCTTCTATTTTTCAAGAAGACTTTTCAACTTAATATTTACGCTTGCAAAAGTAATCGCACTATCACTCTTAGTTGAACCCGGTGCGTTAGGCGCTAGACACTATAGAATACATCATAAAGATTTTTCTGATTTAATCTTCATAGCAGCCCTGTTTGCTGGTGGTCGAGTAGCCAAGTCGTGTGGGCTGTAGCCCACCAGGGTCCTCTGTCCATGAAATTTCCCAGGTAAGAATGCTGGAGTAGGTTTCCATTTCCTTCTCCAGGCGGATCTTCCCGACCCAGGGCTCCTGCATTGCAGGCAGATTCTTTACCGACTGAGCTATGAGGGTAGTCCCCTCTGTGCGGTGGGTGGTATCTATTCTCCAGGTCACACAGCTAAATAACTATGGGCTAGAGGATTCTGACCCCTAGTGACGCTTTGTCATTTTATAAATATAGGGAAGAATGTGTCTTTCCCTAAACCCTTCTAGGCTTTTCTCCCAGTCGAGGTTAGTTAACAAGGGGTAAGGAAAAAAAAAAAAAAAAAAAGCCGTTCCTTGGGATCCTTTGTGATTCTTCTGTTAACTCTTTCTCCCTGAGTCAGACAAGCGGCAAACCTGTGGGAAGGGGCCGTGGGAAGGACGTGAGACGCCTTCACGGAGACCACCCCCGGAATCCGGCTCCAGAACCTTCGCTCCCGGGGAGCTGGCCCCGGCCAGCAGGCCGCGCGGAGGACGCAGGGAGGACAAAGGTCCGCGCGTCGCTCGTCCTTCTCCTCGGCGCCACCTGGGCCCCGCTCGCGGCCACCCAGCGTACGGTCCCCGCGGCGGCCCCGGGCGTAGAGAGCTGGCCGCCCCGGGCGGAGAGGGGCTCGGGCAGGGAGGCGGCGGGGCGGGGCCGGCCGCTCGGAGTCCCCAGCCTGGAGCCGTCGCGGCTCCAGGTGCGCGTGCGGCGGGGGGCGGGCGTCCCCCGGGCACCTCCCTCCTCCGCGCCATTCCCACCCCGGCCCGAGCCGCTCGGCCTGGCTCCGGGCTCCATTTTCTCGCGGAGGCCACACCTGGAGCCGCCCCTCTGGGCAGGGCCGTGCGGCCGCCGCCTGGGAGGGGACCCTCGGGGCGGGGGCGCCGGGGAGGGGCCGGCGCGCGCGCGCGCGGGGACTGGGAGCCGGCGGCGGAGGCGCGATGGCGCGGGGCGCGGAGGGCGCGCTGCTGCTTCTCCTGGTAAGTGCGTGGAGCCGGCGGCACGGAGCCCCGGGCTGGTCGGGGCGGCGGCGGGCTCCCGACCCGCGCCTCGACCTGCCCGCTTCCGCCGGGGGAGGGCGGGCCCGCCCGGAGATCCCTCTTTGTGCCCGGAGGTGGGAGAGGGCCGGGCAGGCGCCGGCGAGCAGGGACCCTGCGGCTCCGCTGGGGCCGGGCGGCCGGTGGGAAGCGGGCTGCAGTTCCGTTTCTCTTGCAATCGTACACAGGCCCCAGCGCGTTTCTGGATCTGCGATGTGCGGGTGCAGGGAGCCCTGAGGCGGGGACACCTTTCCTGGAGACCCGGGCTTTGTCCCGAGTCTCCTCTGACCGCAACATGGAGGCGGCGGCCGCGCCTACCTCCCCGGGCTCCCGCCGCCCGAGCGCGGCAGTGACCTGGGGACACACCTGTATTCTGAGACAGCGGAAGGGGGCCCAGAGAGTTTCTCTAATGTATTTTACAAAGTTTAATTTTTTTTGTTAAAGCCACGTTACGCTTCAAATCACCCACCTATAGCTCAAGCTTAAAGTTCACAAAGTTGATGTTTCTAAGACATCAGCTAGTATTAAAGGTAATGAACATATGTAATAGTTTTAAGGTTTTTTTCACTTTAAAAGATTACAGAAAGGCGACGTGCAGCGCAACAGTCAAATGGGGTTTTCAGAGGTTATTAAACTGGCAAACAGTGTTCGCTTTCTAGATCTGCATTTCTTATGCTTTACTGCTTATGCTCGGGTTGGTTTTTAAATACATTTGTTTTCTGTTTGTTGAGGGAATTGCGCATAAGTAAAGGGTTTGGCTTCTCTGGTGGCTTAAACGATAAAGAATCCGCCTGCAGTTCAGGAGACCCTGGTCAGAAAGATCCCCTGGAGGAGGGCATGGCAATCCACTCCAGTATTCTTGCCTAGAGAATCCCATGGATAGCGGAGCCCGGCGAACTGCAGTCCATGGGGTCGCAATGAGTCGGACAGGACTGAGATGTACTTGACTCTGGAAGAGGCTTGCCAAATGGGTTTTGATAAAGTGACAGTTATCCTCCTGATACAGGTTTGCCTTCAGCTTCCAGAGACTTAAATGTGTGTTCAGAGAGATTAGGTAAAAAATCGTATTCTGTATTCTTATATAATAGTAAAAATAAGAAATACAAGTACATTCCCTGTATTGAAAGTTCTAACTTCCAAAAGATTGCCTTATCTCTATCCCAGAATTACAGTGAAGGGAGGACATTTTCCCCTGTGGGTTTTGTATGTATATATTCTTATAAAAGTCGGACACAATTTAGAGACTGAACAACAAAGGCACACATATTTATCGCATAAGAAGAAACATGGCTAATACAATCTAGGAATTTCAGTGAATTATCACTTTGAGCTGTTTAGGACCTGCAGACCTTTGTCACACCTGTTAATTTTCCTGCTTTTTATTTCATTTTGCCTAAGTCATTGAGGTTGTTGAGGTGATGTTCAAGTTTATTTTGTTAGTAAAACTTTTCAAAGATAATTTGCAGTTTCCTTTCTGGCCTTCAGAATAACAGAGCATCTAGTTCCGTCCTCGTGGTATTTCCTAACTAAAGGAAGTTATCACACTAGCATAGCACCTGGCTCAGTTTGAAGTTTAAATATTAAATCCTAGTAAAGAAATTGCCTTTATCCTCAAGTGGTTTAACAAGCAGGCCGATTAAAGTACATTTACAGAGAAATAGGTACATAACTTCGGCATATTTTTTACTCTGGCAATTCAGTATTTTTTGTTTACTGGGCATGAATTGACCGCCTCTTTAAAAAGTGATTTTAACTAATTGAATAAGCAAACTCTTGGACAGTTCTTTGTATTTTCTGTAGTACTTTAAATGATACGAATTTGAGTATGTTTATTTTTGATCAGAGAATAGTGGGCAGTTCAGCATTTTGCCCCTGATGTGTTTGAAGTTGGAATTCTAGATTTCAGGGAAGAATATATGAAAAGCTTCTATTCTGACAGAAGTAGTTCTCCAGGACACGGATCTTTTATGGAAGGGAATATAAATTGTAGTGTGTGTGAGTCAGAGTTCAGTTGCAGATCACAGAATTCACTCTAGCTAGTTAAAGCAGGAAGGGCATTGTGTCCATTGCATCTGTGTGCCAAAGACTGAGGAAACACTCCATTTTGAGCTGTCAGTAATGGCTTCAGAGCCATCCAGCCAAGCCCAAGCACTTAGGGACCTGCTGCCTCTCCCGTGATCAGGAACCCACACTGCCACCCACAATGTGAAAAGAGACAAATCGGGTGTTACTTCTGTTGCCAGCTCCAGAACCACTCCATGTTTGCTAGGATGTATAACACTGATATGTACTGGGACCCTACATCTTGGCACTCAGGAATCTAATATGGATTTTACTAGATGGATCCTAGAGCTAGAGAAAGATGACTTCAAAGACCCAGCTCCATCCACATCTGTGCTTGCCAGCAAGAAGAGCAGCCACATGGCTTCTGCTTCACTTCCTTCTTTCAAATCTCATGTAAATGCTGATTGTTAATGTTAAATCATACACTGAACCTTAGCTGCTGAGTCTGTGATATGTGGTCTCTAACTTTCTTCTGAAGTTCCAGGAGACAAACCAGAAGCAAGATGCTGAGTGGCACTCACAGACCTAGCACACAAATAGAGCCCAACTCTGTCAAATGGAAATAGAAGCAATTTTGTAAATAAAGTCAGAGAACCTTTGCTTTCCGTGAGTTCTTTACATGGGACCTACCAACTCCCAAATGGTCACTGGATAGAATTCAGAAGGTTCTTAGTCATGGATGGGAATAAATTCTGTGTCCAGTCTCATTAATATCGATCTGAAATTTAGTATTCCTTTAAATTATGAATGTAGGAAAGACACTGCAATAGCTTAGCCATAGCATAGCTTTAGGGCTTTCCTGGTGGCTCAGTGCTAAAGAATGTGCCTGCCAATGCAGGAAAGGCGGGTTTGATCCCTGGGTTGGGAAGATCCCCTGAAGAAGGAAATGGCAACCCACTCCAGTATCCTTGCCTGAGAAATCCCATGGACAGAAGAGCCTGGTGACCTACAGTCCATGGGGTTGCAAGAGTCAGAAACAGCTTAGCAACTAAGCAACAGCAACAATTATATCAGGACTCATGCTAATGACCTCAACTTGGTTAAACCCACAAAGACCTTGTTTCCAAATAAAGTCACATTCTGATGTGCTGGGGTTAAGACTTCAATAGATCTTCTTTTAAGGGACATAATTTAACTCATAACAAGTAGGTGCGGCTATTTATAAAATTTTAGTAACACTAGAGTTGTGCTTCAGATTCTAATACGCAAGTGGATGACAGATTTTAGAAGAAATTAAAATCCTAAGTGAGATGGTAAGTATTGAAGCTTATAAGAGTAAATTATCATATCCAGGGACTTTTAGAAATGTATGATTTCACATCTGTTTTTGTTCCTAAAAATTAATGGGAAATGTCAACTCTTTAACAGAAATTTCTTTAGGTATAAAATTAGGGGAAAGTACTTTGCAAGAAGACATGAGAATTGAGTTTAAATTCTCCCTGATTATTAGAAATATCTGATGAAATATATTAAAATCCCCAAGGCTAAAGTCCAGAAATATATATCACTAGAAAATTTCACTTAGTTGTATCTGAGTCTTTGTGACCTCATGGACTGTAGCCCGCCAGGCTCCTCTCTTCATAGGATTTTTCAGGCAGGAATACTAGAGTGGGTTGCCATTTCCTCCTCCAGGGGAACTTTCTGACCCAGGGTTCAGACCCAGGTCTCTTGCATTGCAGGCGGGTTCTTTACTGTCTAATCCATCAGGGAAGCCCTTAGAAACTTCCCAGTTAATTTAGTTATCAGACACGTATAAGAGTGAGAATTACCAGTCTCAATTTTGAAAAATAGTTTATTGACCAGTGATGCACACAAATATTTATTTGGAAAAGAAATTACACATCGAATAAGGGTTTGTATTTTTAAAACTGCAAAATTGCAGTAAAAATCAGAGACCTTAATTAAAATTATAAATGTGCTTTAGATCAATTTTAGTATTTCTTAATAAACAGCAGCAACAACCAGAAAATCCCAGCTATTTGTCTTTCCGTGTGCCACATATTTTAACTGATAACACTTTTCAAACATATAGCCCAAATATGATTAAAGATTATTTTCTTAGTTAAGTTTATCTTAAAGTTTCAAATGTATAGCACATATGACATTGCACTATTTGGTTGATTTCAAATTATTTTTTAAATTTTTTGAGATTTTTATCTTATGCAAAGCTTGGTGATTAGAATTACAGAAGCTGGAGCATCAAGATTTATACCATAGTCTAATGGTAAGATGAACAATGCCCTCAAGAAAATAAACTAACTAAGAGATAACCACAGATGACCACAGTTTAGCAACTCCCTGCTCAATCTAGACAATGTATCAGATGTTGGGAGACAAGAAGTGTTCTGCCCTCATAATGCATCATTTCAGTTCAGTCGCTCAGTCATGTCGGACTCTGCAACCCCATGAATTGCAGCACGCCAGGCCTCCCTGGCCATCACCAACTCCCGGAGTCTACTCAAACTCACGTCCATTGAGTCGGTGACGCTATCCAACCATCTCATCCTCTGTCGTCCCCTTCTCCTCCTGCCCTCAATCTTTCCCAGCATCAGGGTCTTTTCAAATGAGTCAGCTCTTCTCATCAGGTGGCCAAAGTACTAGAGTTTCAGCTTCAGCATCAGACCTTCCAGTGAACACCCAGGACTGATCTCCTCTAGGATGGACTGGTTGGATCTCCTTGCAGTCCAAGGGACTTTCAAGAGTCTTCTCCAACACCACAGTTCAAAAGCATCAATTTTTCAGCTGTCAGCTTTCTTCACAGATGCTTACACATGATGCTTACAGTCTAGTAAAAAAGTAAATGGCAAAATCCCAGATGGGTGATGATAGAAAGAGTAATGATAAAAGAACACACTGTGCCATGAAACCTACAGAAGGGG